GTTGGGGCTAGTTTTTGTGGCCAAAAGTGAATAAACGTGAGAGAGAAGATATGAGGGGGTACGGTGAAATAATTGAGGGTTTTTTTATGCCGCGTGAAAGAAAAATAGAAGTAGGGTCTACTATGAAATAAGATGGGGAATGAGGGGTCTGTACGAAATTTTCCCTTTTTAATATTATTCATCTAATAATAAAGCCATCGAAAAAATTTGGAAAGGGAAAAAATCCTTCTAAAGCCCATATCTAAGCATCTCACCAAAGTGGATGGCCTATGTTACTTGAGCTAAAAAAAATATCTTTATGAGTGTTATTTCAATTTTTGCTTTTTTGTAATTGTTTATTAAAATGAAAAGAGTGTATTTTTAAAAATTGGGATCAAACAAATGGCCTTAGCATGGTTTTTGAAGATATCTTCATTATATTATTATAGAATAGTTGCATGAAATCATTCCCTGTAAACACACACACGCATACATTTGTATGTGTGTGTGTGTCAAGTGATGTCCATATTCAGTGTACTCTGCATATCCTATCTGTAATGTGCTCCGCTGCTCTTCCTTGGTCATTTTTTCTGCAGGCAGAAACTTCTTGGGCATTAACTGTTCTCAGTTACTTGGGCAAACTGGTTCTTGGAATCATCGGGTAAGACATTTTATATGAGTTCATTTTTGGAATTTTTACTCCCTAGGTTTCTTATCCAACAATTGTTCTTACTTTTGATCATCTGCCTGATGTCTATTTTTCATGTTTTTGGAAATATTTTTCAGTACTGAGGTTTTTACTGGTTAGATTAACTTATATAGTTCAATCTTTAATAATATTTGAAGATAAGAGCAAGGCCCTTGGCCTGGGTGGTTAGGGTGGGAGATCCAGAACATGACGTCAAGGGTTCTATTCCTTCCCCTTTAACATGTTAAAAAGCAAAAGGAAAGGAGCGATTTATATTCATAGTATTTGTTTGTAAGCACATTAATGTTCTGCTGAGCAGTACAGTCATTGACCACATGAGCTTATGGAGTTATGGTTTTGGTGTTGAACTGTGGTTTATTATTGGGATTGCTACTTGGACTTGATGTGACACCATTTTCTTTGGTTTATGTTCTTCAGGCTGTGTGTTTCAGTGGCTTGGGTTGCGCATATTATTATATACTTGTTGATCAATCCCCCTCTTTCTTCATTTCTAAATGAGGTCTTCATCAAGTTGGATGACGTGTGGGGTACGTGAAGATAGAACTGCGCTGATCCCCAATATTCCTTCTTGATTCTGATTTCTTGATCTGACTTTTGTAATATCAAAACTAACCAGGGCTTCTTGGCACTGCGGCATTTGCGTTCTTCTGCTTCTATTTGCTGCTTGCTGTGATAGCTGGTGCAATGGTGCTAGGTTTGAGATTTGTTTTCATCACCATTCATCCCATGAAGTATTGACCAACCCTCTGCACCATACTTCTTTCTTATAATTATCTGTATTAGTGAAGGAGTGTGTCCTGATCTCTGTTATTTGAATGTTTCAGGTGGGGGGGCACCTTAATGAACTCTTTTCTTTTTAATGTCGGCCTCATTCTACTTTGCTCTATCAGGTTTTGATTAATGATTAGCTTAAGTTTCCACGTTGTTAATATTTGTCCATGTGATTAGCACATTTTTTTCTTAATTCATCTAAAAACTCCAGATATGGGTTAATAGCTACATATCTTTATCAGTACCTGAGGTTTCTAAATATCACGATAGAAAGTTTAGTTACATGTCTTTATCGGCACCTGAGGTTTTGTAAATATCACGATAGAAAGTTTCCAGGTTTCATTGTATTTCGAGCTATTACCTTAGAGATTTTCATGGACTTAACTCTGGTGCACCAAACTGCAAATTTATTTATTGTTTCTGTAAAATTTACCTTCTGATCATCAACTTTTCTTATTTTGATGCAGTGTGATCCAGTTCTGTGCCACAGCATTTGGTTATTATGCACAAGCCACTGCAGCCCAAGAAATTTTTGGTCACACTTTAAAGTCCCTTCGTGGAATTAAATATTTATACAAGTACTGAACTTGTTCCTATTGTTTTTAAAATCTACAGCTAGTTTTGACTTTCCATTGGCATAAAATAAATATTGAATGAAGGATATATGAGGGAATTGCTTCTTGTCTACTGTTTATGTCATGTGCTTTAAATGCTTGCAAATCATTGTCTCCACAGGTACAATGTGTTCCAAATTGCGTTTATCGTGTTTGCGGGTCTTACATTCATCTACTACGCATTATTTGTAAGTAAAAGCGTATGTCATGTGCCCTTCTTAATGTTTGAGAATGTTAACTTTGTATTGAAGAAGAGAGAGAGTACACAATTGCAACCCGAAATTTCGGGGGCTATTTACAAAAATGTGGCTCCCTGAAAGGGACACATTATACAGACTTGGAATGTCATAAAAGGAAAATGCGCCCTTCTTAGCCTAATTGATTCTTGGACAATCTTGGTGCATTTTCAGGGATGGAGAAAGAGAAAGCAAACTGGTAGGTTTCAGCTTTCCTCTTAGAACTGAGCTCATCCAGATTGGTGTGTGACTATCCTATCTGCTGCTTTTGCCAATGGCTGCCACTTGTTCAGAAGAGGGTACAGAGCATTCTCTTTTCAAGAGTGATTTTCGCAATTTGGGATCTCCAGATCTGATTTTGTTGCGCCCTCCTTTTCCCTCTGTACTTATAGTAACCAGCATCAGTTTGGATGTGCCATGTCTTATACCGGTTTGTGACATCTCTTACTGTAATTTGATGAGGAATTCATTTTGTGAAGTGAGATTGAGATTGGTGATTATTTCGCCTTGTTAATAGAAGTTATAGATTGGTGTATTGTACTGACTACTAAGATGGATACTTCAAGTTTTATATCAGAGTTCCTTGTATTAGGTTTTGTACTGCAGCATCTTCTTAGAGAGAGCTTGTCATTGAAAATGTGTTTGTGTAACCCGGTATAGAGGTCTTAGTCTCAGCCTCTTCAGGTTCCAAGTTTGATTCCATGTTTTGAGCATCCCCAACATAAAAGAACGAGAAAATAGTTGTTTCATGCTTCAAATTACTGTTCTTAAAAGGAGATTGAGGAAGCACATCTGAAGAAGTAAACCGATCATTTCACAGCTGGTGCTGTGAGGACGCAGTTATGGTGAAGTTACCTTAGAGGCTCGGCCTGGCCCCTGCCGGGCTCATGGGCCTTGGCCCGCTCTCAGACCTATTGGTCTATGGGTGGCTCTGGCTGGCCTGTTCCTATTGCCCAATACTTCTTGAATTTCACTTCTTATTATATCCTTTAATATGATCTCACTCCTATCATTATGTGCATCTTTCGTTAATTTAGATAAATTGATTTTTTTTTATATTTTATGTCAAATGTTGTGGCATAGCGGATCCCAATTAGTTGGGAAAAAGCTTCGATTATGATGATCAAATGCTGTGGCATTTTATTTACCATCTTTCCTAAATTGGTTTTATGTCCAACATAATCCATCCATCTGATTCTTGTAGAAGGAATCAAAGAAACTTTGAAAAGCATTCTCTACTGGGTTAATATAGTTACACTTATATTTTATATTGATAATTCTCTCCCTCTTGTTCTCTAGGCAATAAGATAAAAATGTATTAAGCTATAAGGCTACATTATAGATTAAAAGATAGGAAAAGATCTTAGGAAAAATTCTATTTTAGTGTTGGAGGATTCTAATAATTTAACCTTTGCAAAATTGAAATGAAGATGAACCACATATACACGGATTTTTTTTCATAATCACGATCTGGTAGATGATAGATTAAAAGATAGGAAGAGATCTTAGGAAAAATTCTATGTAGTGTTGGAGGATTCTATAATTTAACCTTTGCAAAATTGAAATGAAGATGAACCACTTATACACGCATTTTTTTTTCATAATCGCGATCTTGGTGGTGATATGAACAGAGTAAAATTTAATACCCAAATCCATCTTGGAAGGATGGATTTGGGTGTTTCGTCGGAGTCTTGAGCGTACTTATCCCCTATGCTTTATGCATGCATGTGCATGTTAACTATCAGCATATCTGCACTTGTCTATTGTGTACGTCCGTATGTGCACCTCCATATAAATGCATTTGCCTATATTGAGGGGAATCTATGTTCTGATTTGCAATAGGTTCCTGTCATTTGGTTGGTTATATTGCAAGTGATTGGTTAAGTTGTTGATCAAAATTCTATGCCCCAAGTTCTGTAAACAACTAGTAAACACACCCTTGATAAATGGAAAGAATAAACCAGAGACCGTGTGAGTTTCTAAATGCGAACATTCCATATTCATCAAGAGACGAAGATTTCATTTCTAATCTCAGCAGTTCACATGTAATGCTTAAGCTAACAATTCTGGGTCTCATTCCTTACCAACCCATGTGATCACACTGATTCTATGTAAGAGTATAAAGAAAAAAAAACATTTATAACAATTTCAAAGTGAAAGCGCAGAGATTTAGACTTTCTTGACCAAATAATGACCACTGTGGAATTATATAAAATGGTTGGCAAACCTTGAAGCCCAGGCATGGCCTGATAAACTGCCTCCCTACTCGAGCCACTCACATCCAAGTCTCTTGCGATAATTAAAAGGAAAGAGGCAACGCAATATGCAAAGGTATGTTTCCTTGTGTACAGAATGAAATATAATGAGCTTAAATGAGTTGAAACCATTCTATTGATGGGTTGCAGGGTCTAGTCCCACTTGTCCTCCCTGTGGAATATCCACTCTGATATGTTCAGAGTGCTCTTCCCATCTGATGCAGCAAGGTCGTAGGGTGAGTCTTCAGCAAATTCAGTAGGCAAAGCCTTCCAGTGCAAAGATGGTTCCCATTCAGCTTCCTTGAGAATCTGAAGTATTTCTGCCACCAGTATATCGCTCCCTTCAGAGGAGAAGTGAACACCATCTCTGCAAGAAAACTAGCAATTGTTGGTTCCTGTAATATATATCGGAAGAGACTCGTATATCACTAGACCTAGGGAGAATATCAAGCCAGTAGCAATTCCACTAAAATTTTCTTAAGATGATTATTCCATTTTGTAAATCCACGTGTCTCTATTCCCACCTCTCTATCCACTCTTCCTATCCCAAACATTGTCAGAACCAGGCCGGTGACTTAACCGGTGAGGCACCTGTTTGGTCAAACCGGCCAGTCCCAAACCAGTTCACTAGTCTAACAGGTGGAATAATTTTTAAAATGGAAAATAAATGAAAATCCATAAAATAAGGGAAACCATTGAAAAATCAGAAATTAGAAAACTTGGAAAAGCTCAAAATTATTGCAAAGAAAATAACCCATCAAGCAACATAAATTTAATACTCTTAACAACATTTCAGGAACAAAACATAAAAACAATTGAACAAGAAGCTCATAACCATGACCTATGGAAGCACAAAAAAGTACAACGCTGCAGTCCACATGTTTCCACAACTCCAAAATCAACATCCCATGATTGCAAGGCCCTTAAAATCACAAAATAAATTTGTGCTTTGTACATTTTATTTTTTAAACTTATTTTTTGGGTTCTTACTCTTTAAGGCCCTTTACAATTTGCAAGAACCCATAAACGTTTATGTTCATCATCATCATAATCATCCGAGCCTTATTCCAATTAAGTGGGGTGGGGTCGACTGTAGAATCCTTTTCTGCCATTCTGCTCTATCAAGGGCCATACCCTCAATTAGACCATAAGTCACCAATTTCTTCTCATTACTTCCATTCATGTCCTTTGAACATTTTCCTTGTCCTTTTAGAGCCTTCCACTTGAACCAAATCATCACCCCTCCTAATCGGTGTTGTTCTAGGTCGACGTTGTACATGGCAAAGACCACCTAAGTCTCATTTCCCTGATCTTATCACCTATTGAAGCTACCCCTAAGCGCTCTCGGATGTATTCATTCCAAATTTTGTCCTTTCTTGTCTCGCCACTCACCCATCTCAACATCCTCATTTTGGCTAAACTCATTCTATGGATATATCATTTCTTGACTGACCAACATTTTACAGCTGGTTTACAGCCATCCTATAGAATTTCCCCTTCAGTTTCATCAAAAAGTTGATATTCAAAACCAAAAATACAAACACTTACACACAATTTTCTGTTTTTGCATTTTCTTTTTTAAGGGATTTTATATATTGTAAACGTGCTTCAAATTTTAAAACTGAAAACGCAAAAAACAGAAATGCACAAAATCAGTCTGCATTTTCTTTTTTAAGGGTTTTACAAATTGTAAAAGTGCTTGACATTTAAAAACTGAAAATGCAAACCTAGAAATGCACAAAATAAGCCTTTGCCCTTTCTTTTCTTTTCTTTTTTTTTTTTTTTTTTTTTTTTTTGCCTTCCCAGTTTTACTTTTTTAAGGGATTTACAAAGCCCTTTAAAATTCAATATCGATAGAGAGCAGCAGTAATGGATAGATATAGTAGTTTTTGTAGGAATAGTATTTGTGATTAGTACTCAATATCGATAGAGACCTACATGCTATTAATAAGTTGATGACCCAACTATTCAATTATGATAAAATTAAAGATTCAATTTGAAGATAACGATAAGAAATAAACAAAAGACTAAAAAACTATTAAGAATCAAATAGGGTCAATAGGACAAAATAGGAAGTAAAAAGGATGTTTGTCTCAAAAATAAAAGAAGTCCATTCTAAATAAATTGATAGGTTAGACCATTGTCATTGATACTTTAAATTTCTAGACCACCTGCATGATCTATAAACTTGTTCCAAGTTGTGTGTGTGTATCTTCCCTTAAATCCATATAAGCCGATCTCATGATTCTGACCACCTAAGCAACAAATGACAGGATCCCCTTTGCTGTTTGAAGTCACAAATTAAAAGTTAAATACGGCTTGAATCCATAAAAGAGGGCCACCGAATATTGTTGTATTAGTTTGCCAAATGAGCTATTTTCCTAATATTTAGAAATGCAAAGTCTATCACTTCCACTATCTGCTGATGCTCATTTTTACTTTGATAACTGAATTCTTTGATTTTTTAGATCCTCTCTATTATAGCATATGCCAGAGCAACATAAACATGAAAGCGTGGGATCATGTATACCTTTAAATTGGAAACAGAAAACTCAAGATGGTCATATAAATGTAAATGTCGTGGATAAAGCCTTCTACCCAGTTTCCTTTTTAAGTGATGAACGTATCAAATAAAATAAGTACATGGTAATTAACAAATAAAAGAAAGCAAACCGACGTTAAGCAAGCAGTTGCCCAATCATCTCGTTTTTGAATTGATGTCCAAAGGTCAACCACCTTTAAACCCATCTCCTTGCAGAGCTCTATACATGCTTCTGAGTACTGTCGACATATCTCATTTGATCGAGTTACTTGACCAAATATACCACTGGATGCAGACAAATGAAAAGTCAAAAAAAAATATAAAATACCAGAAACATAAGAATACAGATCAACCACACCTTGTAGTGGACTGGAACATGTCTTCATTGACAGGAGGACAACTAAGAAGGATCAGCCTTGTTTTTTCAGAAAGGCTCTGAGAGTTACATATTTCCCAAAAGGTCAGAATGTACAATAAAAATAGAATAAATAATATTTACAGCAAAAAAAAGTGGATAAATAGCTTATAAACAAATATTAAACAAAACAAAATTAAATACAAACTAATTAACAAAGCGAAGCAGCTCAAGGTTCAATGTTTAGAAGACGTACAAGGATGTGATTCGCTAGTTTTCGCAGATTCTCTTTACATTCAGAAAGAGGCACGTGAGGGCCAAGGCCAGACGAATGAGGACCCATGGCATCATTACCCCCAAAATACATTATAACTAGAGAAGGTTGTATGTCTGCATCCTACATCAAAGACAATAATTAGTCAAAGAAAGTGATGTGGTACACGGTGAAGTACATCGCTAATACCCTAAATTGTAATAAACTCATCAACAATCACAATTAAAGAAAGTGAAATATCACATTAAAAAGTGTGACACCATAAACTGGCAGTAATTTAGATTAACAAACGCATTAGTTATAATCACTTGTTTAAAAAAATTACTTGTCCAACTTAGGAATCTCCTGAGTTAGACAGGGAAGAACCCTGGAATCACCCCACTCCCTGGTTTTCCAATACTTTTAAATTTTCCTTTGTTAAATATAGCCCTGTCCGGATCAGACTTGCCCAGGTCGAACCAGCGAAAACGGACTCTACCACTGCCGAGAATCCCAATTCCAATTTTTGAAACACCAATGATAGTAAAATAAACCTTGAGATTTGGGAGAGTTCAGTAAAAACACTATCCTATCTGGAATAGGAAGAAAACGGAGCATTATTAAAATAAATACAATAACCATTTACCTTTTGTACAGAAAGATCACAATAACCCAAAGTTGTTAGATGCCAAATTGGGTAGCCATAGGTGTCATATTGACCACACTCGAAGTCTGAGAAAATTTTCCTCGACTTTGAGCGGATAAATGACACATCCAAACCATCTGATTTGACATTTGACACCATGAGTATTTGTGAATACACAATCCCTAAATATACTATGGCATACTTTCTCTACAATTCATAACATATAACTCATTCCAGAAAAAAGTACATCTTCCATCAAAAAGTGTCATAAGAGACCACTAATGCTAAGAAGTTCACCAAAAAAGAGTCATCTATGCTTCACAAGGGTAAATTGTGTGGACAAAAATTAGGTCTTCTGAACATTTCTATGACAAAGTGAAATGACAAAAATGATACAAGTGATGGCTCATGCTTAAAAGTCCAACTCATTTTAAACATGTCGGATACCATCCACTTTATCACTAACAGTTTCTTGGCCAATAACTTTGGACTCCTATTAGAGAGTAGAAAAATTGGATATATCCATTAATTTGACCAGATGGATATCATTTTGATTCATATATGTTAAGGAACTCGGACAAACAGAGCTGTATTATAACCTATCAAGAACCATCGGACAAACAGAACTGTATCAGAACTGTATTATAACCTATCAAGAGCCATAGCAAAAGGGTACTGGAACACTAAAAGCATAAAAAAATTCAAAACAGTCAGCAACAAAATGAGGCTCCTTAGATATATTGATCAAAAACAAAAAACCCAGAGGTTCCTTTTATGACAATACGTGGCTAAAAAAGGATGATTTGTATACTCATGAAACTAGCTAACCAGGAAATTAAAATAACAACAACCATCATCATCATCAGTGCCTTATCCCAACTATTTGGGGTAGGATACATAATCATGTTCCGCCATTTTGCTCTACCAAGGGCTACACCCTCAGCCAGACCATTTAGGATTCATGAAAAGGTGTGGCAAAGCATTACGCTGGCTGCCCTACCAAACACAACCTTCCTCCTTTATCCAAACTTGGGACCGGTATGACTAGCTTGGGACCAGCCATGGCAAAGTTCGATAACAATAAAAAAAAAAAAGATGAAAAATGAAATACTAAGCTCACTGGTAACATTAACTCGACCATACCTTGGGAAAAACTTTTTCTATCACTTCGAGGGCACGCCTTGTGTTCCAACCAGAATAGCCCCGCAATAAAATATCTGCCTACAAAATGACAATTGACCCTAAGATATCTAACAAAGTAGGAAAAATAACATGGCTTTAGAAAGTAGCACAACAATACATACAATAACCATATATCCATTAGACATAAAAATTTTAAAAAAGAAAAAGACAGAAAAAAAATATTTTCTAATAGTAACTTAAACATATAGACAGCATTTTCAGAACACAGTCCTTTACCTGTAAGTAGAATTTAAACCACCACAACAATGACGGCACCATAACATTATAAACTGCAATGACAATCAATATGAAGTAGAAGATGAAAAAGCTCATGATATATCTATTATCTTTACTACTACTGCTATACTACCACCACCACCATTACCATCATTATTGTCACATGACAAGTCACTCCTATTGTTGAACTAAAACCATAACACAACATACATCTTTTGAGTTTCAAATTTTATTGTCGATGTTGGAAATTGATTTTAGAGCCATCATAGAGATTTCCATTGCCGAAAGTGCTTTTTGGATGAGAATTTAAGGTGAGGCTTTATTTTGTTTTCATAAGGATTAGGCTAATAAAAACTTCATCCTTTTAATTATAAGATCATAGAAAAAGTAGTTCATTGGGATGTCCAATCAATGGCTGGATGGTGATGGCAACTCATTGGACACTTTTGGAGTGGTGACATGTGGTGATTCTTGGCGTTCAACTCCCGATTGGATGGTGATGTGATGACGGTTGACATACATCCTTTTGTGCCATGCCACGCGTACAATAAAATTGCATGCTACATGTAACCACAGTTGTCACAATTGACATTCAACAGTTTCGATAAATTGTCCCTCCATTTGGAGGCAGGTCACAAAATTAAGGATGGGTTTTGGTGCACTAGCTAATGCAGACCTATTCAGATGCAAAAATCCATTTTTATTTTTTAATGTTAGCTTGATCCCTTTTTTTATGAGAATTTAGCAAATGCAAAAATCCATCTAATGAAGGATTTTCGACCCTAGAAGTTCATAGGTTGATAAACTTCATCACCATGATCATGAATTTCAAGAAATAACAGACTCTAAAAGTAGACTATTTTCAAGTTTGTCTTTGAACTGCTGTTATTATTCCTATTAATTATTAGAGTCTCATCAAATATGCATTAATGGCTGTAAATATATCTGGAGCCACCCACATGTAAAGCATGTATGAAAATTGGTCCCAACCATCAAATCTAAATAGACAACGGGAATGCATCTATCACAGTGCCACATTGAACACTGTTTGATTTTTTAATTTTTTTTTACAAAATTTTGGGATTAAATTTGGGACATGACCTCACCTTATTGGGGCGCACCTAGCAAAAATGAAAACTAAAAATTTCTTAAAAAAATAAATAACCAAAAAGCCCCTACAAGTTCTGGGGAAGTTTGGTCATTTTTCCTCATCAAAAATATTTTCTTACTATTTTTATCATGTGCACCATTTTTAGATGTGTGCACACCCCATATTTCACTTCAACATGATTTATATAATAAGAAAC